AGGAGAGAGAGAGAAGAAGGGTGCAGGGGAAGTGTGAGGGGAGAAGGGGTTATAGAGTGGGGGAGAGTAAAGGGCAATGCAGAGAGGAGGAGAAGAGAAGGCCAGTGAAGGGGAGACTGTGAGGAGAGAAGGGGTGCAGAGACGATCAAGGCAGCAAGAAGCAGCCCAGGGCCAGAACTGAAGGCCAGTGGGCTTGGGAGTCCTGGGCTCCTGAGTCCTGGCTGCCTGGGATTCAGGTCTGGGTCTGAGTACAGTCTGTGATAGGCTTGCTGACTCCGCCTTTAGGTAATGTTTGGTGGTAAGAACCCACTCTGTTGGGCCGTGGAAGAAAGGCTTGGCCATCTATTTTTGCAAAGATTACAGCCAAGAAAATGCTATGGAACTCAGTTCTCCTCTGTAACATATGGAGTCACCATGTGTTGGAATTGAGTCCATGACAACGGGTCTCAGGGGAACCACTCTCTGCAGTTGATGATTGACTGAGAGGAGCAGCATCCTAGAAAGAAGTCCCACAGGGAGCTTGCAGATTCGTTTTGCCTGGTCTTTAATGTCATATGTTTGGAATTGTTTAGCACGTGATGTTTTGCATCCGGTCTCCTTCGCTCCATTTCACATTCTTTGATTAGTTTTCTGTAGTGTCCATACCCCTCCTTCTTCAGTGTTTTCTGTCAGGGAAACCCTCTCTGTGTCTGTCCAGTGGTGGCCACAAGGGGGAAGCAGAGGCTGAGGAAAGCCTTGTGAGCCGGTGGGGCTGTCTTTCTATTGCCCTCAGGTTAACTCTGGTCAGCTTCCCTCCCTGAGAGCTACTGCTTTAGGTAGGATTTCTGGAGCAGAGCTATGGAGCAAGGTCTTCAAAGTCTTTTGATCATGCACTGCTTTCCGTAATACATTGTGAATCTGCAGCTTCCAAATATGTACTAACATTATACAGATTATAAAAATGAACATAAGAAACGAATTAAAAGAGATAAGATTAAATCTTATATAAATACAAAAGCTAAAGATTTCTGCACTCCTCATCACCCCCATGGATCCCTGGAGCATCGGTGAGCTGGTTTGAAGCTTGGCTGAGCTGTGGGGATGGCCTGGCTCCTGTTAGGGCTCTGTCACGTGGCTGTGTGACCCTGTGCAGGCTTCCTCATATCGTTGAGCTTCTATCTTCTCAGCAGTAAAATGGGGAAAGTAAGAACTGCTTCACAAGACTGTAAGCCTTCACTGAAATAAGTATGCAATTTTCAGAGAAAAATGGCGCGTGGTGAATAGCAGGCCTGAGTATTTGGCAATGGTCATTAGAGAGCAGACACCCTGGCCTCAGAGCTCAAGTGTCAGTTCTGCCTGTGGAAACACGGCTCCATGAAAGGAGAGGAAAATGGTGCCTGGTGCCCTGGGGTCTGTTAGAACTGCCTCTGAGGGTTGGACATGGCCTCTTCTGTCTCCGGTGGGCCAGGCCTCTCTCCCTCTGATTCTCTCAGGGACAGAGGGCTAAAGGGTGATGTCTTCAACCTTTCCCCATAACTTGGTCCTCAAATCCCTCCCACCAAGCCTTGCGTGTTCCACCCTTGACCATGGCTGGGCCTGTCCTACATTAGATTGGGAAGGTCAGTAAGTTCTTCTCAGGTCACTGACTGGATCACTCATAATCGGCAGTACCCGGGCCAGCTTGCTCTCTGGAACTCACGTACTTGACGTCTCTGTGACTGGAGAGAGTGTTCAGGACCCCCTGAGCAGACACGTGGTCCACTCTGGCCTCTCAGCCCCGGATATGGCGCAGTTCAGTCCCAGGAGGACACATCCTTCATTTTTTTCTTCTGTTCTCCCTCCTTTACCTTTTCTTTCTTACACTATCTTTCTCTCTCCATCCTCTTTCTTTCGTTTTTCATTTTTTTTTTGTTGCTTATTAGTCTAATCAAGTTTAATTAGATTTTCTATATGAAAGGTCGTTTTCCCTCCTGCCTCGCACTTTTACCTCCATATGTCTCTGGGACTGGGTGTGAACAACACCTCCTCACCTCTCCTGTAGTCTCAGACTTGGGATGCAGGATTGGTGCCCATTCAGAGGGTGGTGGGGCAGGTTTCATGGGCCAGGAGGGCTCTGCTACAGACCTCTGGGTGGGGTGGGGGCAGACCCTGATACCAGGGAGTGAGGGGCATAAGGAGGTCCCTGAGCCACTCTTGGATGGATATTTCAGTTAAGGAAGTGACACCCTCAACTGGGAGTGACTCTCCCCACCAGAGGGGCAGGTGGGCAGATGCAGAGGAAAGTGAGGGCCCTGCTATGCCTACTGGGAGTCTCTTAGAAGCTGCCAGGTCAGAGTTAAGCCCTCCAGCTGGGGTTATGATGGTTGAAAGTGTAGAAAGAAAAAATTAAATTAAAACAAACCCCATTAAAGTATGTGTAATATTATTTTTTCTTTTCACTTTTTTCTCCCAGAAAACGACAGAAATTTGTGCTGTATTAGATGATAACCCAGTGAACGCTGCATGTTAAGAGTTTCAAGATAAATTAACTCATATAAGTTTTTACCAGGCTGGACCTTGGAGAAAAGGCGTTGAATCCTTTCCATCAACTTTCACATGTTAAACCCACAATACATTTTACATTAACCATTGTTTTCTGGTCCAGGTATTTGTCTGAAACTATTTTGAGAGCACTTGAAACAAGTAAAAGATAAGAGGTATTTCATGTCTGTTAGAAAGGAAAGTAAAACATTAACCCTATTAGCATTCAGATAATTTGTGTTTTCAGCAAGACACACCATTTGTGGCTTCATGAACAGTGGTTATTGTCGCAGAAGCTGGGAACACGACTCTGATGCGGTTGTGTTCATCAGGGCACTGAAGGGTGCTTTTCGAGGTCCTTCCTGCCAGCCCCCCAGTGTTCTTCAAGAGAATCTAACCTATGCTCTGTGCTTCCTCTCCCAGTGTTGGAGCTCAGTGGGCTGGGATTCCGTGTGAGATAAGCTTTCTGGTCACATGTGGGGCATTCCAAAGTCCATGGTTCCCTGGAGCTCCTGTTTTGTGCTGGCCTGTCTGGAGCTGGAAGCTGGGCTGGGCTTGAGGCCTGGGAGTGGTGCAGGGAGGGCAGTCTCCTCTTCCTTCTAACCTCTCATCCTCTAGAAATTCTTGGATTAAATGCTCCTAGATGATAAGGCTTATGTGTCACTTCAACTATTTGCCTCAGAGTGCCTAACTCGTAAATGGTCAATATACCTTTGACAAATTTGTTGAATTTACAGTGAAATTTATACATTTTTCCAGAAGTTTTGAGTGGATTGAGACTGATTTGAGAACCCCTTTCCCTCATAGGGACAAGGCTACCTGCCTGAAGTGACAGCTGAGAGAATAAAATGAAATGAAAATAATTTGTGTAGGCCTATTCCTGGCACTTACATATTCAATACGATTTTGTTTTCTGACTTCTGTATTTTCATAAAATTTTTCTAGTGTCTGTTAGGTCTTTACCACAGGGATTGGGGTGGCAAAATGGGTGGGGGTCGGTAGCTGTTTCAACTCTAATTGCATGTGGATTTGGAGGATAATATTTTTACTTGTCTTATTAGTTACTTTTGGTTTAAAATGGGTTTAACAGCTTTTCCCACACATAAGTGGGTACTGGCAGAAATGGACCCTTTGGGGATCTGTTCAGGTATATCCAGAAGTTCTCACCTTGCCCACAGTTTTGATATCACCAGGCTGAATTCTGAGCAGAAATCAAGCATCCCCATGCTTGCTCCCGTGAAGACAAATGTAATGGGTCATTTTGAACAACCGGAAAGGCAGCATAGGCTGATAGAGATTTTGCTGGATGTGTGCTTGTAAAACGCTAAGAAATTTGGTTTACTCATCTGTAAATGAGGCTAGTAATGAGAACTGAATGGCTGTACCTAAGATGATTGGTGATATTAAAATATTATAGTGCAATATATATATATATCATGTAATAATATGTTAAATATTAACTATCAGTAGTATGCTGTCTTTTCAGAAAGGCAGGGCCATAGTCCTGGAGTAGGTCCTGGAAGCAGTTGATGTGCACAGTGTTAACTCCGTGGTTGCCAGATTGTGGGGAGGTCCCAGATCATCTGTGGGTGAAGAAAAAGAAAACCAATCATACTAGATGCTGTTGAAGGGCTTGGGCGTGGTTACATTTCTCAGTTGGCTTGGAGACACTTGGTGTTAGCAGACTGTAGAGACAGACCTGTGCATAAACCAAAAAACCCCCAGTCATCTTCAAGTTGATTGTGACTCATGGCAACCCCTTGTGTTGCAGAGTAGAACTGCTCTCCATAGTATTTTCAAGGCTGTGACCTTTCGGAAGAGATGCCCAATCCTGTCTTCCCAAGTGGCTGTGGGTGGGTTCGAACAGCCAACCTTTCTGTTAGTAGTGGAACACTTAACCGTTTTTGCTACCCAGGGACTCCTGACCTATGCACACAACTGGGTATTAGTCATGCCTGTGCCCACATACAGTCCGTACTTCCCGAAGCCAGAAGCAAGCTGGCAGATAGTAGGGGTTGAACAAATGGTTTCTGAGTCTGTGCCTCTGTGTGGCCCCTTTTGCTGTTTTATTGCTGTGATAATGTGCTTCCTCCTTGATAACAGAGAGCACTGTCCAGAGGGCAGGGCAGAGTTTGCTGGGCTACTTTCTGCAAGCTTTCACTTTCAGATGGTGGAGGAGCCAGAGGGAACAAGGTGATTATTCTCGCTGGAAGTGTTCTGTGGGGGCCCAAAGCCGGGGTCTCGGCAGATATCTCTTTAACTGAGGCTGATCCTACTTCCTTGGTGGTACTGGGAACCACCTGCCTCTCAGAGATGGGGGACCCTGGTCCCACAGTGCCTGACCCAGAAGCAAGGACTGGGGCTCCCAGAGCAGCTAACTGCAGGTACCAACTCTGAGGGCAAATTTGGGTCTGCAAGGGTCCCTGCAGCCCTGAACCTCCTGGAGCTGCTGAGTTTGGAGACGCTCCAGGAGGTCACAGACTTTCAAAGCTGGAACCAGGAGAAGCAGGTGAGTTGGCTGTGTAGATACCTGTGGACCACGGGGAGGAGCCAGGGAGCAGCCGGCTGTGAGGAGGGGGCTGACAATGTGTGTGTGTTTGGGACTGGACCACAGTCTGCTCTAAGAAGACTGAGGACAACCCCAGTGAGGCTTGCAACTTATTCATTTGTTTTAAAGATGTTTATGTAGCACTTACTAGGACCAGGCCCTATTCTCGTCACCTGTAGTAACTTTACAAACATAAATTCATGTAATCCTCATTACAACCCCTAAGAGTATCAAGGGAGTTATTGTTAATGTCCTCATTTTGCAGATGAGGAAACCAAGACAGATAAGGTCAAGTAACTTGCCTAAGGTGGTCACACAGTGAGTGACTGATCCCAGAGGAGAGAGTAGCATTTGAGTCTGTGCTTTCTTGACCATATGCTGCCTCCTCTCACCTCACATACAGCAGGTGGTTTGGGGTCTTTTCTTGACAAGGGCTCATTTTTTTCTTCTCTCCTGCTTAGCCTCCAACTGGGTTCTTTTAGCTGTTAGCCAGAAGTCTCACCTCAAATACAGAGCGGGCGAGGATTAAGTGTCAGTGGGGAATTGAGGTATAGGGAGGGGTTGAAATGCAGGTGAAGCAAAGAAACACACTTAACAGGGCAGGGTGTCTGTGATGGGAGCTTCTGTCTCTCTGAGGATGCCGTCTATCTCTGATGCTTCTCAGGTGACTCCCTGTTCACAGTCAAGGAGGACAGAACAAGGAGCAGCAGAAGCTGGCATGTCCACTGTGTCCCGGGGGCCTGCATCATGGTCCTCTGACCTGGGGTGAGGGAGGGGCTGTGAGAGTCCTGGAGATGGAGGGAAGTGCTCCCTGAGGGGCACAGGTGCTGAGGAAGGAAGGCCTGATGTGTGAGCAGTGGGGCTGCGGTGTGCATGTTAATGGGGTGGGAAGGGAAGGAGTGGTTTGTTCCCAGGTCAACTTAACAGTTGTCTGACACCACAGAGTCTCCCCAGAATGGCTGGCAGGAGCCTGGCTCAGTCTTGTCTTGGTATCAGTGTTGGTGGGGCCCATCATCCAGTTAGCACGATGAGCGAGTAGGAAGTGTTCTCCTCCTCTCAGAGGCCGAGCTGTGGATGGGCTGCCTCCTGTCTGGGGTCGCTGACTCCTGTCCTGTCTCTCTCCAGCTCTGAAGAAATGGTGGGGGGCTTCAGCAAATCTTTGCTCTGCCATCTCACTTCCCTGTTGCTCCTCCTCCAGCTGCCCAAGAAGGGGTCTACAGGTGAGTGCTCCACATCCTTCTGTCTGCGTCTCCCTGTGGTGTGTGGGAACCATAGGTGAGCTGCTGGTTCTGTTCATCAGGAGAGTTGGAGATAGTGGAGACTCCTCGACCCTGGGAGATTATGGTGCCCTCACTAATTGTAGTTAAAAATTTAAAAAAAGTCACTGAACCATAAATAAGTATAAAAAATTCTGACAATTGCCCCACCACGACCTCTTTAATGTTTAGAAGAGCCAAATAGATGATATTGGGAAATAACTTTCCCATATTTCCCTGATTTATTAACGTCCTAAGCAAACATGCGTGTGTGTATTAATTCTCTTTATTCCGCCAATGCTCGTGGGGGTCTCCTATGGCTTAGGTGTTGCTCTATGAACAGAACAGTCGGAGACTCTCTGTCTTCACAGAGCTTACATTCTAGCAGGAGGCAGTGAATATTAAATGTAATAAACCAAGAAAAACTACAGTATGTTAGAGGAGATTAGTGCTATGGGCCAATCAAGTAGAGCAGGACCAGTAGTGTTGGTGGTGGTGGTGGTGGAGGGGACAAGAGGTGTGGTGTGGGCAGGCAGCAGTGCTCATTAGGGTGGTCAAGAAAGAGAGATGTGGACTAAGACTTGGGAGAGGAGGGGAGTGAGCATGAGGATCACTGGGGATAAAGGGTTCTTGCGGGAAGTGTGAGCCAGTGTTCAGCTAGCAGAGTGCCTGGTGGTTCAGAAAACAATAAGAGGTGAGTGTTGGTTGTGGCAGAAGAGTGACGGGGAGGGAAGCAGGAGTTGAGGTCAGAGTGGTCCTGGGGGCAAACCCCATAGAACCTGTGGGTCACTGGTGGGAACTGAGAAGCCATTGCAGGGCTTTGAGCAGAGTGGGGCCCTGACATGTTGTGGCTCACACAATAAAAGGCTTACTCTGGCTGCCATGTAGAACATAGACAGTGGGGGCGGGATGAGGGTAGACAGGGAGACTAGTCTGCTGCCGTCCTCCAGGTAGGAGATAATAGTGGCTTAGGCAAGTGTTGAGCAGTAGAGAAGATGGTATTTGGGAATCTAGAGTGACTTGCCTGCAGAGGAGCCATCTTGTAGCCCATCCAGGTCAGAAGTCCAAGGGTGACAGGCCGAGTGTGCTTTCTTCTGTAACAAGCTGTGATTGAGGCTCCTGGGAGCCATGGGAGTGAGCACAGCTTTGAAACAGAAATAGCATTTGATTTTGGGTTTTAAGTGCCCATATAATTCAGTGTAAAAGAAAGATATGGGCACAAATAATGAAAGGTAAGCGTGGGAGTATGGAATTTCCCAGTGGTGGCTGAACGAATAGAGTTCAGACCCAGATTTCTGGTAGCCTCTGGTCAGTTTTCAGTCCTGTCCTGAGACGGGGCTGTGGTTCTCAAAATGTGGTTCCTGAACCAGCATATCCACATCCCTGGAACTCTTTGTTATTGTGGTGATTAGCTGCTGTAAGTTGGCCCTGAGTCATGGTGACCGTATGAACAATGAACCAAAAGCTGCTCTGTCTACATGGGAAGCTAGATTTGTACCATTGACTCACCAACGCCTTGGGGGAACTCGTTAGAAATGCACATTTTGGACCTACCCTAGACCTACTGAATCAGAAATTTTGGTAATGAGGTCCAGAGATCTGTGTTTTACAACCCTGTGGGTGATTCTGAAGCACACTCAAGCTCGAAAACGAAGGAGTTAAAGAGTCTTTCACAGAAGGGCCTAGGACCATGTGCTCAGCCACATGAGGGAGGCCCTTTGACATCATTTCTATGCCATGATGTTGTGGTCAGAATATCTTACTGCATTCAGAGTCCTCACAGTTCATTCCTTCAGGAGCTGGGGGTCATCTCCAATTTTTACCTGATAGTGTGTATTCTCCCACCTTCTGCCTTTGTCTCTCCAGCTTTCTCTCTCTCTTGTTTTGTCTATAGACGAGTTCCAGGTGATTGGCCCCACAGACCCCATTGTGGCAGTGGTGGGCAGGGACACCATGCTGCCCTGCTCCCTGTCCCCAGCCATGAGTGCAGAGAACATGGAGCTGCGGTGGTTCCGTTCCAAGTTCTCAGAAGCAGTGTTCATCTATCAGAACCAGCAGGAGGAGAAGGAGGAGCAGATGCCGCAGTACTCAGGGAGGACCTCCCTTGTGAAGGACTTCCTCAGTCAGGGGAAGGCGGCCGTGCGCATTGACATGGTCCAGATTTCTGATGATGGGCAGTACACCTGCTTCTTCAAAAAAGGAGGCTTCTATGAAGAGGCTACTTTGGAGGTGAAGGTGGCAGGTTGGTGACTTGGTCTATATATTCTAGAGTCTTGGAGTGTTGGAGTTGGGAGCAACCTCAGGGATGATTTAATTCAGCCTCTAATTTTATAGATGCAGAAAAGGAGGCTCATTCATTCAGTGTAAATAATGTAGAGCTCCTACTATGTGCTAGGCCCTGTTCTAGGTATCTAGGATACGTCAGTGAACCAAATAGAGATCCCTGCCTTGTGGAGTTCATATTCTAAATGCAGAGATAGAAAAATCACAATCTGTTATAGGTGATGTTAGAAGGTGATAAGTTCTGAGAATGAAAGACAAAGTAGAACAGGGAAAGGGGATCAGGATGTGGGCATGGGTACTGGAATTGGGACTGGGCTAGGCCTCATTGAGAATGTGCTGTCTGAGTAAATGCTTGAAGAAAATAGGGATTTAGCTAAGTGCATATCTGGGGGATGAGAATTCCAAACAAAAGGAAGAGCCAATGCAAAGTCCCTAAGATGGGAATGTGGCCAGTGCGTTCTGGACACCCATGGAGGCCTTATGGATGGCTGGTGGGAGTGAATAAGGGACAGGAAGGTAAGAGGCGTCCATACCGGACAAAGCGACGTTCCTGGTATAGGTTGCACACAGAAGGGACTGGTTAATGTTGTCTGGGGCGATCATGAAAAGTGCCCTAGGGAGTAGACACTTAAGCTGGCACATCAGTTCATCAGGCAAGTTTCCACAGAGCCCTCAAGGTTGAGTGACTGAAGTTGAAAAGGCAGGGGGCACACAGAGCAAGACGTGGTTAATAGCAAGTAACCAAATAGCCCTTGGGACTAGAGTAAGTGGGACCTGAGGGGCACAGGTGGTAGAGGTTGGGGGGGAATTGAGAGAAGGGGTTGGGGAGAGACACAGATGTCTTCTATGATCTCAGAGAAGGCTTTAGGCTTTGTGTGTTATGTTGTGGAGTTTGGATGCAGAGCTGAGGAAATATTAAGCAGACCAATGCTGTGAATGCTCACTCTGGCAGCTTTGAGGAGGACGGATGTGAAGGAGAAAGGCTGAAAGCACAGAGTGTAGTTCTGAGGCAGAGAGGATGACTGCCTGACCTCAGGCAGTGGCAGTAAGGTGGGAGAGTAGGGGTCAGATATTAAAGAGATTTGGAAAGTAGACCTAACTGAGCAAATAAATTTGGTAACATAAGAGTTTGGAGGGGAAGAGGGCACCACAGAGATTCCCAGGGTTTTGCCTTTGCTGTTTAGTGGTAGGAATATTGATAATTATGTATCAATTACCTATCACCATAATAATGCTACGTAACAATCAGTCACAAAATCTCAGTGGTGTAAAGCAATAAACATTTATTTAATTTGAGCATTTGTAGAGTTCAACTGATCTAGGCTGGGCTAAGCTAATCTCAACTGGACTCATCCATACATTTTTGGTCAGCTAAAGAGGTCACCATGCGGACCTTGAATGGGAGACAACTGGCTGATCTCAGACAGCTTCAGCTGAAAGGCTGATGTGGCAAGGCAATGTTCCCAGAATCTCATTGTCCAGCAGGATAACCTGAGCATGTCCCTCCCACGGAACTAGTAGAGGGCTTAATGGTGAAGCAGTTTTCAAACCTTTGCTTGTGTCACACTTGCTGATTTCTCACTGGCCCAATAAAGTCACATGACCTACCTAAGAGTAAGAGTGGGAGGGCACTACAAAGTGATGTGGCAAAGAGCAGGCGGATGTAAAGAAGGCGAAGACCCAGGGCTATACTTGTAATCAATTTACCACAGAGAGGGCAAAATTATGAATTCTGTTCTGCAATTTTGAGTTTGAGGTGTATAAGAGGAATCCGTGTAAAGATAACCCATTGGGATGCGGTTATAAAGAAGGGGAATTAGGGAAACAGAGATGCTTAATTGGTATAATTTTGGAAGTGATTTAATGAGAACCAGTGGGAACAAAAAGAAGCCAGGGAGACTGTGTGATGTGAGAAGAGTGGAGATTCAAGGACAAAACCCTGAAAAGACTCCTGCCTTTAAGGAGTGGGGGGGAGCAAGAAAAGTCCAGGAAAGAGGCTCAGCAGAGTGATCCGAGAGGTGACAAACCAAGCAGAAAGGAGGGTGACCAAGCCAAGATGGAGCCTGTTTCAAGATGCAGTCAACAGTGATTCACGCCGAAGGGAGACTGAGGAAGAAGGGCTGCAGGGTGACTTCTGGGCTGCCAAGTAGGAGATTTTTGTTAACTCACCAAAAACAGACTCAATGGAATAGTAGAAGTCAGACTGTTGGGGGTTGAGAACTAGGTGAGACGTGAGAACATTGAGGTGTTCGTGGATTATAAAGCTTACTCTTCTTAGAAGGGGAGAGGAGACTGTAAAAATTTGAACATGTTTATGTGTTTAAGAAAAGAAGTAGGTGGAGAGGAAGAGATTAACAACAAGGATGATGCAGGGAGGAGTGGGATCCCTGGTGGGGCAGTGGTTAAAACACTCAGCTGCAAACCAAAAGGTCAGCAGTATGAGCCCAACAGCTGCTCCGCAGGAGAAAGATGTGGCAGTTTGTTTCCTTAAAGATTTACAGCCTTGGAAACCCTATGAAGCAGTTCTACTTTGTCCTATAGCGTCACTATGAGTTGAAATCGACTTGACAGCAGTGGGTTTCTGAGTGGGTAGGGAGCAGAGAATGAAGAGAGTGGAGAGAAAAGAGGAGAGAAAGGTGATAATTGATGGGACCAGGCCTTAGAAGAGATGGTGACCTCTGGGTTTCAGAGCTCAGGGAAACAATTATCCTTGTGCGAGGGAGATTTCCTCTCACTTGGTGTCAGGAAGATGAGAGTAAGATCAGTTTGGATGAAGAACACTTCGTGGGTAATTAATGGAAAACAAAAAAACAAATCCCATAAATCTCTTAATTTCAAATATTTCCTACTTGCTAGAGTAAGTTCAACAAAGACTTAGTTTCAATAAACCTTACGACCTAGTTTAACTTTTATCCTTGAAAACTTTTTATGTTGACACCATCTTATTTCTCCTGGCCTGGTCTGGAGTTTTGTCCTTTGATTTGTTTCCTGGGCTGCATCTCAAGAAAAGAGGTTTGAAAATTCTTCTTTTTTCTCTGTGTCTCAGTCTTTCCACCTGAGTGGTTGGAAAGAACAGTCCCTACCTTCAGAGCTCCTAAAGACACCACAGGCTCCATTCATCCTTGGTTCCCCACGGTGGAGCCTCCGCCCCGCCACCACTATGGGGCATCTTATCCCTTAGAACCTCCCGAATGGAAGACGAATGGCTTCCTATGTGTCGGGCTGCCAACGTCGCGGGCCTACACCTGGGACAAGGCGGCCTCCTGGGCTGCACAGCTTCTCTCCCACAGGTGTGGGCTCTGCCCCTGAAATGCGCATCGAAGGACCGGAGGAAGATGGGGTCCGCGTGGCCTGTACGGCCTCCGGGTGGTTTCCGAAGCCCCAGGTTCAGTGGAGGGACCTTAGTGGAGAGAAGTTCCTGGCTTTCTCTGAGGCTCATGCCCAAGACTCTGATGGGTTGTACCGCGTGGAGGCCTCGCTGGTGGTGAGAGATAGCTCTGCTGGGAAGGTGACCTGCTCCATCCTCAACCCCATCCTGGGCCAGGAGAAGGTGAAGGCCATTTTCATCCCAGGTCAGTGGTGTTCCTGCTCACAGCAGGCTGGAGGGAAGGGAACAGGGTCCTGGGTGTGCTGGGCTGGGCTGGCCTGGGTGCGCCCTGACGCAGTCTCTGGCCTGGCCGCAGAGCCCTTCTTCCCCCAGGCCTCTCCCTGGAAGCCAGCTTTTGCCATGAGCCTGATCATCCTGTGTCTCCTCATCCTTGGGGCTGGCTATTTTCTCAAGAAAGAACACTCAGCAAAGGTGCAGGCGCTGCAAAAACAGGAAACTCTTCAGCAGGCTCAGGAGGAGGACAGGCAGAAAACGGAGGAGGCACTGAAGGCCGGAGGCAAGGCAGGGGAGGGGCGAGGCTGGGTGAGGGCAGAGCTGGTGCTGAGAGGGAAAGCTGACAGCAGGAGCAGAGCCCTTGGCTGTAGCCTCCAGGAAGACCCAGGGCCCCTGCCCAGAGCAGGAGGCTCAGGAGATCCAGAGAGGGCAGCTTGGCTGTGGAGGCTTGGATGGGTCTGGAGGGAGAACTTTCTCCACCATATGGAGAGGGTCTTTTTGTGGGTTTTCCAGGCACACCATCGTTTCCTTTTCTTAGGGATGGCAGTTCATGCTTATTTTTTTCTCTCTTTCAGATGAACTCCAGGCAGAGCTAGGTAAGTTCTTCTCTCCCTCCTGAACTCTCTGTGTCCCATTTGGGAGACATTATTGCTCTTAGCTCACCTCATTTCCTGTGTGTTGCCTTTCAGACAGGAGGAAGGCTGTTTACCAGGCTGGTGAGTAACTCTCTAGATGTCCCTGGGTCTCCCGTCCCACCTGTGCCCAGGTGTCCCATCTCCCCATGTCTCTCTGGCATAGACATGAGGACCTCATTCCATGGGGGCAGAAGTGAAGGGTGGTGGGGGAGGAATCCTGCTCCTGGGGCTCTATGATCTGGGCCTCTGCTTCCCTCCCAGTGCTGGCACCCTGAGGGTGGTGCAGAGACTTAGTGAGGAGGGAGAGCAGAGGGGAGCACTTGCCCCCCTGCCCGGGATGCGAGTCCAAGGCGGCAAGGATGGGGTGTGGAATGACATTCCCAGGCACCACAAACATGAAAGTTGCATGACGAGGCACCCAGACAAGAGGGTGCAGGTGTTTCTGCTGATGTGTCACTGCTATCAACGGCTATTCATCTTGAAATTGGGGGTGGAGTGGGGTGCAAATTAGAGACCGCCCCTAGGAGCTTGAATGGGGTGGGGGCAATTAAGAGATTGCCCCTGGGCGCTTGTCACATGGCTGCAGCTCTAGTGTGGTGATGATCCCTGGAATCTGTAATGCATTGTGGGTTTTCTCATTCCAGCCCCGGCCTGTCCACTGTATTGTTAGTTTTCTAGCCTTCAATACACAAAGCTCTCATTCTGCACCTGGAAGCTAAAAGGCACATGCTCAGGGATTTCCTTTAAGGAGTTACATAAATAAATAGGGTCACTAAGTTTAGGGGTGTGACTTACTGGTTTCCCAAGAATCCTCCTCTCCGAGGGTGTCAGTCCTCTCAGGCTCCTGCAGGTGCTGATGGAAAAGTGATGGGGAGAGGACCAGAATGAGTAAGCAGGGAAATGTGATAGTATGAGCTGAGTGCTCCCCAGAATACAGGTGTTATTATCTCTAGAAATATTTTTTTCCAAAACGGTTGGCCACTTTTACCCTGGTCCTGGCCATGTACCTTTGTCCTTTTTCATTTCCCCCTTTGGAGGGAATAGATATTTTCCAGAAATACATTTGCAGAAAAGGACTAGTTATAACAATGCTTTCTTACAATTATGGAATAATTTATATTTCATTCTTTAAAATATCATCACTTTTTTGTTTATTCTTAGTGGAATGCAGGTAGAACGGGAGGTTCTGAGGTTCTTGAGGCACAGAGTGGCTAAGTGACTTGTCCAAAGTCCCACAGCAGCAGCAGGATGGTGTGGAACTTGGATGTAATCTCAGCTTCCTGACCTGTGGTCACGGGAGTTTCCCACCATCCCTGGCCAGCTTTGCATGCTGCAGGAGTTCATCTCTTTTCTAGCATCTGTCTCCCTCTGGATAGGCACACCTTAGGACAGAAGGGAGGATGATAGCCAGTCATTTCACACTGAATCTGGCTGCAGTCTCACCAGGGTGTGTTCTCTTTCAGCCTGGAGGAAGGCCCAGTTGTATGCAGGTAAGTGACTCTAATTTTTCTGTGATCTTACGTCCCTCAGCCCCAGGGACTCTGCCTCAGCCTGGCCCTTCCTCTATCAGTGGACCCCACAGCAGGATAAGAGTGGAATCTCTGTTCTCCTTATCACTTTCGTAGCCTCTCTCCTGAGACTGCAGAGACTCCTCCTTGAGTACACAGATCTGCGTATTGTTGGGGTCCTTTCTCTACTGCAGGCCACTGTTCAGGTTGGCAACACCCTCTGAAAACATGTTGTTCACTTCATACTTCCAGTTAGTGCTATCAGTGACAATGGAGAGTTCAGTTGTCAGGAGGGACAGGAGCAGGGTAATAACTGTGCAGGTCAGGCATTGCTGGTCTCCAGAAGGTTTCAGAAACGACACTTGCCTGCTGAGGCTTCAGATGTTCCTTAGGGAGTCCTTAGTTCTAGATGCCTCTGGCCCTGAGAATCCTATCCTTTTTGGATCCAGTTTTGATTTTCCCATCTCTTTCTGGTCCTGTGGCTATTGGTCTTCTCTTTGCTTCGTCATGCTCTGACTCCCTGCCCTTGTTGAGTTTCTTCGTCTAAGTCTTCTTGGTTGCAGAAGAAATGGTTGCTTTAGAGCAGATGTTCTGAATCTGGGGTTCAGGTACCTCAAGATATTTATGGATGGGCCCCTGCATTGGGTTCTGTGAACCACCTGAAAATATGTGAAAAATTCTGTGTGTGTGTAACGGGAACAAATAATGTAATGTATAATGGTTCATAGCCATTATCTCCCCTTTTAGGAGAATTCTGTATTTGCCTAATGGGCTGAGTCCTATGTTGAGCTAGTTAGGGGTAATGAGTGAAGACTGCAAAACAGAAACTTAGAGAAGTTAAAATTATTTACAAGAGAGAGAATGGGGAGCAAATCAGGGAAGAAAAGAATAGGTGGGGAAGGGGGAAGGAGATAAGAAAAGTAAAGGAGAGTGTGGGAGACACCTTGTGGATGTTTTAGACAGACCAGAATGGTCAAAGAGAGGCCAAAGGTCATATTTATGGTGTTTGGATTTGGGGAGTTGCACAGATGGTTTGCAGGTCATTTGGGTGCATGAAATGTAATCAACTCCCTAACACCTCTTTGAGAGATTTCAGTAAGGATTGCATTTATTTTTAGCCATTTTTGCAGTAAACATCTAACTGAGTTTGCCTCTGATAATAAGATTATGCCAACCTTCCAGTGGAAGGGGAAACCTCGTGCAATGAAGGGTTATCCAGAAGATCTGTTGTCACTGGGGCGAGTTCATGATGTGTGCCCTGTGGGCCTGTGTAACATTCGCTTTCCCTGCTCTAGATGTTTGTGTTCTGAGTCAGGGATATGGGTCCCGAGAGACAGAGAGGTGCGAGCCACGGGAGCCAGGAGATCTGTGGACCAGTTGTGTGAGGAGTCCACTTCATGAATCTTTCTGATTCTTCGAAGGATTTATTTGTAACCAATGAGGATCATTGTAAACAATGTGGAACAATGAGGAGATTATCTTCTTTCACTATCTCTGCCTTCTTTGCTGAATTGAAGTCTCCATCCAGTATTGTAATGTACATGTTGTATATCCTTTTGTTTTGTAAGGACAAACACCACCATTACCCTAGAATCAACATTTTCATGTTAATAGGTTCATAGTGTGAGCCAAGCAAATGTCTGATGTTCTCTTATTTATAAAATTGGAACAATAATTTGTAACTTAAAGATTTGCTGTGAAATGAAGTAATGAGTGTATTAAAGTACTTGATATATTTTTAGAGTTTCAAAATTAAATGTCAGTTCTCTTTACTCCTTCTCCTGCTTATTGTTCTCCTTCTTCTTCTTTGGTAATCTTTAGCAATTATGGTATAGAAAATTATAGTTGGGGATCAACTAATGTCTTTGTGAAAAATCAGGAGAACAAAAGCTCACTTTTCTCTAAGGGGACAAGTGGATCAGCCTGACCATTGTATGTGATGTTATTTCCATCAAGCAAATCAACAAAGACAGAAATGCCAATATAGCTGAATGAGCCTGGAAAGTGGGGATGGTGTTCACTATTTACACATCACATATGCAAGAAGTATGCCATTTACTTATTTCTATAAATGATCAAATCTTGTTCCTTAGTCTCTACCCTTTGGCGGTATTGAATAATTTCTAAGAGTCCAAACAAAGTTAAAATAATGCTGGAGATTTATTTGTCCATCATACAATTTGCGAATTGAACAACACACGGTATGAGACTGGGTGTTGCTCCTGAGATGAGACAGTCTGAGGTTTTTATAGTCCAAGGAACAAAGCAAGCCAGGGAAGTCCAAGTGGTTTCGATGAGTCTATTTAATATTCATCAAAATGGCTCTTGAGATCCTTTCTTCCTCAGGACTGTGTTTGGCTCAGAAGACAAACGACGCAGGTCTGAGGGGTCAGTGCCTGTGGACACCAGCTTGTGTGGAATGTAGGCTATTCTAAGAATGTTAGTTACAGGGAAAGTTAAATAAACAAGCTAGTTATTATCTCTCAAGTTTAGGTTACCTAATATCTTAAACAATTGCCCTGTGAGACCAGATTTTGGCCATGTTCTCTGGACTTGGCAGAAATATCATCAGTTTTCACATTTTGTTTAGTCTCCACATAGATTTCTAGGCTCCACAGAGGCAAAAGCTCTGCCACTGAAGACATCTCAGGGCCTTATAACATATATAAGCTTTGCTTTGGTCAGCAATCTGCCTTTCTCCTTCCCCCAAGGATTATGTGAGTTGAAGGTTATAGGGCTTTAGAGCAGTGGCGGAGAGGAATCTCTGTGCTCTCCGTTTGTTTCATTTTAAGTTCTTGTCCTGGGCTGGCTGGTTTGATGTGATCCTAAGACCTTTGTGTTGGTGTCTGTTGAGGAGGAGCAGGTCTCATCTGGCCATTTTGGGGGATCGTTGGTGACCCTCTTCCCCATAGTGGAGTCCATGGTCTTAGTCACTTGTCTCTGATTGGAAAATAGTTGTATTATACCACTTGTTCCTCCTAACTCCGTACCTTCTGATCTTAGTCCTTCCTGGTCCACTGGTTCTCTGGGCATTGTTGTGTCCCCCCACCTCCCATCAGAGCATGTGAAAATTTCTGTGTCTTCAGCTTTCCATATGCAGATCATGAGGAATCTCATACTCTCTCAAGATACTTTCTCTGCCAGTGCCCCTGGTGCATGTTGGATGTGAGTGTATTAGTTTTCTATTTTCTGCCCTAGGAAACTACCTCTAATTTAGGGGCTTAAAACAATACAAAGTTATTATGTTACAGTTCTATAGGTCAAAAGTCCAACCTCTGTCTACTGGGCTAAAATCAAAGTATGGACAAGGCTGCCTTCCTTTCTGGAGGCTCTTGTTTTTTAGCTTCTAGAGGCTGCCCACATTCCTTGGCTTATGTTCCCATTCCTTTATCTTCAAAGCCAGTAACACAGCATCTTTCCATCCCTGCTTTCATTATCCCTCTTTTTTTGACCACAGCTGGGAAAGTCTTTACTTTTAAGCATAAATGTGATTCGATTGGCCCACCTGAATCATCCAGGATAGTCTCCCCATCTCAAGGTCCTTAATCTTTATCATATCTGTAAAGTTTCTTTTACTACTGTAAAGTAGGTGGCTTCAATAGGTATGTTAGCTAATAATAAATGGGGATTAGGGACTACAGGAAATCGAAGTATTCTTTGATTTATTGCTCTTAAATCTTGACCAAATCTTCAATCTCGATTTTTAGGTTTTTTCACCAGGAACACAGGAGTGTTACATGGACTGGTGCAGGGGATTATCAATCCCTTCTGTAAGAAATCCTTGATGATGTGTGGTAACCCATTTATGGCCTCAGGGTTTAAGGGGGTATTGAATTTTAGGCTGTTCTCGATCCAGATGGATTTGCATTCGATTGGACTTGGCAGATTTAATCATGCCAATGTCTATTGAATTAGTGAGCAGTAGGCAGGGGGAAGCATGCATGGTAACATATTCACAGCTTCTGGGACTTAGGATATAGACATCTTTGGGGGCCAGTATTCTGCCTGCCACAGTGGGGTTTCTCCTGGAAGATTATGATGTCTCTGGGCTACTGGAGGAAGAAGATGACTAGATCCAATATTTTTGGGTTCTCGCATGGCTATATGTGTGTTTTTGCTCCCATCACCCTGTGAAAAAAGAAATACAAGCCACTAGTGTCTGACCTCTTACTGTATTTACATGTTTCCTGCTTTGAACTTCTCTTTCTTCCTTCCTTAGAAATGTCTCCATTGCCTCCTAACTTGGGTCAACTTCTGCCATATCCTGAATTGTCTTCACTCATAGCTTATAGTCATTCTGTAAGTTCAGCTCAGTCAGTTGTAATTCTCTGTATCCATTGTTTAGAGGCATCCTAGAGATTCAGCTCAATCAGCACTTGATAAGTAAATGGAGGCCTTGGCAATTTTGATCTCCCAATTCTTTCTCAGCAGAGCATAGGTTTAAATGTAGTTGCTGGCTAGGAATTGAGAAAGCATAATTTGATAGTCAAAGCTGGGCAATGACCTTTTGTTCAGGTAGGTATCCAGCCTCTTAATCCTTGGATGTTAAGCCTTATGGTTTAGCCTTAATGGGAAGGCTGCAAAATATCATGTGAAGGTTGAGGGTTGTGGGTGTGTGAGAGAAAAACAGAAATAAACACATCAGTTCAATGTTTCCAGAACATTTCCCCCATAACTCCTGCATCGCTATGTTTTGTGAGAAAACATGCTGATCGTGTTGTGTAAAGTCTGTAATTCCCTGATATGAAATCTGTGGTTCTCTTGTAGATTGGCGGAAGGAGCAGTTCCAGACCTGTGAGTGATTCAAGAGTTCTTTCTGGGAGCAACTTTTGCCTGCCCCATGGCTTCTAGCCTCCCATTCAGTTGTCTATGGTGATACAGATACAGGCACCATTGATGGTGGTGGTGTGGGTGGTGGAGGGGACAGTCGTGTAGCTGGTGCTAAAGGGTGTAGCTGATCCTGGATGCGAAATAGATATCCCTGAGCCCCTGGAGTCCAGGCTGGACCTCAAGGGCACTGTGATAGATCTTACCCCCATATCAATCTTTTGGTTCCTTCTCCTGCTTGGAAGGCTGGGGACTTGAATCACCAGGTCTCAGTTCTGGGTGCTTAGCGCCCTCTCATGCCGCTAAGTAGTTCTGAGGGAAAGTGGTTTTGTGCCCTTGTTATGGGGCAGGGGAGGGCCTTGCCTGATTCGGTAACTCTCTTTACAGGGTCTGTCACTCTGGATCCACGTTCTGCCCATCCTAACCTGTCCCTCTCACAGGAAAACATGCATCTGACCTGGAAGGCCACCTGTGAGAAAATGAGCGATGACAGATGCAGTGTGTTGGGTCTTGAGGGCATCACTTCAGGGCGATGTTACTGGGAGGTGGAGGCCACAGGTGAAGACAAAAGTGAATGGGCTGTGGGGGTTTGTAGGGAAGATGTTGATAGGAAAAGCTGGTTCAGAGAGGGCCCAGAAAAGGGATTCTGGGTTGTGGGATTCTTTGCAGGTAATTGTTTTGCCTGTACTACTCATCAGACAGAGCTAACCCTTAGGAAGTTTCCCTGCAGGATGGGGATTTTCCTGGACTACGATGATGGAGATATCTCTTTTTACAACATGACTGATAAGTCCCACATTTTCTCCTTCTCTAAGGCTTCCTTCTCTGGGACCCTCTTTCCATATTTCATGTTAAAGTCAGGAGACATGTCCCTGACCATCTGCTCCATGGTAGGTGGGCCCAAGGGGCTCCCTGTGTGCCTTAACAAATCTACTTCTTCTTTGAATGAGCCGCTGAGCCCTTCAGGGGAGGTGTTGAGCTCTGGCTCTGGTGGGGATGGTGTTCTCCCAGGGCCTGAATCTCCATTACTCCCCCACAACTCTAAGGCTGTGCCTCGATAGGGACACATCTCTGTCCCTGTTCCCTCACTATGCTTTTCTTGGAGCTACAGACTCCTCCAGGTGAAAGACTCTGAGGTGAGTGCCGGAAGACACTGGGAGTCACGCATTTGTGGTTTTGGATGCAGACTGCTGGGGGAGTATGTGGCTCTGAGAACTGCCAGTTCATGTTTTGTGCTTCTATAGCTAACGGAAAAAAAAAATGACTTGTCTGAGCTGGTTGAGTGTAGGTGGAATTTGGCTATGGGAAGTCATTTTATTTTGGTAATAAAAAATACTTTGTGAACATTTTATACTGTTTGTATATGAAAGGACAGGGGCTGAATCCCTCTGCAGTATAGAGTTTGCTTTATCCAACTTGATTTTGTTCAGAGTGTAGGGCCCTAGCTCTACTTTGGAGGGGATCTAGGCAATCTGAGCAGAAAACGTGCATATTCAAAATTTTCCAGGGAAATGCTTGGTTGATGGACTTCTAAGATGGGAGAAGTCTAATATTCACTTCATATACTTACTCTTGGATGGCTTAAAAACAACTGTTTTCTCAAATCTTCTGTACATTTCTGTTACCCATGAAAATACTGTGTTGCATTAATTCAGGAAATTAAGAAGAAGGATCTGGTTCCTCTTTTGGTGAACACTATGTGGAAAGAAGAGAAATACTAGCCAAATTAAGATGTAAATGGACAAGAGAATTTTCCGGAGCAGGAAATTGCAGAGAGGCTTGGCATGAGCATTGTCTCGGTTATCAGTGTATTGTCTCTTAGTACTTCCAAGTCCAGTGCTAGAGGTAAATGGAAAACCACAGCAATCAAAAAGGGACAGGACTATTGAGTACTGAGACCCTTCAAGAATGAAGGTGTATTCATTCCACCAGGTACTCTGACCAGCTGAGGTTCTGGATGAGGGTGGGAGAAACAAGGAATGAGAAGTAAAAGTCATAGCTATCAACTCTAATTTTGTGGCCAGTTGTAGAAACAAGGAGTATAACAGCTTTGCATATTTTAATTTGGGTTCTCATGTGTACGTGTTTATTTGTATATATAAACCATTTTTTCTTCTCTCCCCTTCTTTATTATTTTATGTACAAGTTGTTGGAGGTTACATTTATTGTACAGAATATAATGACAGAATAGCCAATGAACTGTGACAGATTTTAAGGAGTAAATAAAATAGCGGTGATGGATATAACGACTGGAACATTTTTAGGAAAAAAAAGGGTTTTTTTTTGGTATCCTTTTTTATAAGGATAAAATAGAGTAGTTTTGTTGCGTGGAAGTTCAAATGTGTGTAAAATGATGTATATGAAAGCAGAGTAACGAAAGTGCCTGCTATCATTTTATTGCCTCTCAGTTCCAAATTCACACTGTCTTTGCCCTGCTTTGTGATACTGCAGCTGGACCTTGTAAACATTTCTTCTTTGCCACTGGGCACAATATTAGACACTTATCAGGACCGTGGAGATACATTGCAAAACACAGCAGAGGAGAGACTTCTCTTCCTGGTTCTGGGCTTTTTTCCTTTATCCTATAGTGCGGAGGCCCAGTTTTGTTCACCTTTTGGTGAATTTGTCAGGCATTGCTTCATGAGGCTCTCCAGGGAGTGTTACTAGCACCCAGAAGGTAGCTTCCCAGGGAGTCTTGCCAGTTCCCCAATGTGAGGTTTCTGGCACCAGCTTTGGCCTGTGGCATGTTAGCAAACTTGATCATCCAATTTGCCCCTATTCCTCTTTTTCCAGTGAGCTCTGAACGTCTTCTTATCAGGGGGCCCTCTCCCAAATTTCTTCCTTTCATGGGTAGTCTGTCTCAGCCCTAGAGGTCGTGGCTGTTTCCTATGTCTGCTATTTCTGTATTCTTTAGAGCTTTCTTTTACCTCTTTTAGTAGTTAAGAACTTTTCCCTATTTAATAATTTTTTTGAGTTGTTTGTTGTTTAGTAGTGTGTTGTTAAACTTCCACATTATTTTATATATTCCAATTTTCTTTCTTTTATTAAGTTCTAGTTTCATTCCATTGCGGTCAGAAAAGATACTTTGTATGATTTCAGTCTTTTTGAATTTATTGAGACTTGCTTTGTGCCCTAAGATATGGTGTCTCCTGGAGAATGGTCTATATGCACTGGAGAAGAACGTATATTGTGTTGTTAGTCAATAATTTTTTATATTAAAATTTTCTCTCTTCAAATGACTGATACAGTTTCTTTCTCCTTACTGGACTCTGAACTGATATAAGCCTGTAAACCATAATGTTGCTTAGAGAAGGGCACAGAATTTCTTACAGTATGTGGGAAAGGGTACTTGAGACACTTAAAAATTTATTAAAAAGTTTCACTTCCAGAATAATGTCTCGGGCAATATATATTAATCGGGGTCTTTGTTGAGTTTTAAGTATGCTCTATACTCTCTATGTGTTAATGTAAGGAGCTCTCGTTGCACAATGGTTAAGTGCTTGGCTGCTAACTGAGAGATAAGTGGTTTGAATCCACCAGCAACTCTGTGGGAGAAAAGACATGGCAATCTTCTCCTGTAAAGATTACAGTCTAGGAAACCCTGGGGAGCAGTTGTACTCTGTCCTATAGGGTCACTATGAGTAGGAATCAGCTGGACGGCACGCAGCAACAACAACAAAATGTGTTAATATAATGTCCCTAGGTGGTGCAAATTGGTTACCTAAAAGTTGGAGGTTTGAACCCGCCCTGTCATAGTGCAGAAAAAAAGCCCTGGCGATCTGTTTCCATTAAGTTTACAGCCAAGCAAACCCTATGGAGCAGTTCTACTTTGTAACACCTGGGGTCACCATGAGTCAGAATCGACTGGACAGCAACTAACAATAACAATGTGTTAAGATATTGTCTGTCATATTTATCCCCCTTTTCATTTAGCTTGCACCTTTATGACACTATATTACTTTTGGATGAGCTACGGGCATATTCCTTTGAAGTAGTGAGAAAGGAAAGGTATACAGATGGTAGGATTTTATCCGCACAAAAAGAAGTGTGTAAAAATGGTGTGGGGGCAGTGTCTGACCTCCTCTAACTTCACAAGGGGGAGGGAGAATCAAGATCAGCAGCCCAGCTGTATGAGATACTCCACTGCTCTCACCCTGTCTGGAGCAAGGGAGAATGAAGAAAACCAAAGACACAAGGAAATGATTAGTCCGAAAGACTAACGGACCACAACTACCACAGCCTCCACCAGACAGTCCAGCACAACTAAATGGTGCCCGGCTACCACCACCAACTGCTCTGACAGGGATCACAATAGAAGGTCCTGAAGAGAGCTGGAGAAAAATGTAGAATAAAATTCTAACTCATGAAAAAAAGACCAGACTTACTGGTCTGACAGAGACTGGAGAAACCCTGAGAATATGGCCAGCAGACAGCTTTTAACTCAGTATTGAAGCCACTCCTGAGGTTCACTCTTTAGCCGAAGGTTAGACAGGCCCACAGAACAAAACGAGACTAAATGGGCACACCAGTCCAGGGGCAAGGACAGAAAGGCACGAAGAAACAGGAAAGCTGGTAATGGGGAACCAAGGTCAAGAAGGGGAGAGTGTGGACACGTCGTGGGGTTGGCAGTCAAGGTCACAAAACAGTATGTTTGTTAATTGTTTAATGAGAAACTAATTTGCTCTGTAAGCTTTCATCTAAAGCACAAGAAAAAACAAGGTAGATTAAAAGAAGAAAATCAACAGCCCAAGGCTGATTCCTATGAGGCGAAGGTCAGACATGCTTCCTCTCTCTGCCATCTCTACCATTTCTAACACAAACCATCCCTCCCACAGCACTCTCTATTTCTCTGCTGGGTTCGATAATTCACTGCAATGGCCACACAGAACTCACAGACAATACTCACTATTATGGGGTTTATTAGGGTAGTAACAGTAGAAAATTCAGTCTCAGGAACACTCAAGGATACAGTTCTTCTGTCAGGACAGACTCTTCCCAGCCTTGCTCACAGGCATGCCTCTCCCTAGCCCTATGCCTCTGCCCAAAGGCACTCAGCTTTCTGTCTCTGTGGGCCAGGAAGCCCACCGTGCTGGCTCCTGCTTCCAACTCTCTGCTGCTGGGTCTCTCCTGCCACTGCTTCTCACCGTCTTCAGGGTTACAGCTTGCTCTCTGTCTCCTAGGTGCAGGAGTTTCTCCATGCAGGGATCCCAGGTCCAAAGGATGTGAGGGCTCTTGGCTGTTTCTTCCTTGGTGGCGGTGGGATGTTCTCCCTCCTTTCTCTGGGATGGCTCATTTCAAGACCAGCGGAATGGCAAAACTGACCAATCTCTTTTGTGGGCCACAATTACCCTATCACACAGTCCTGCCCAATCACTTGGGTGGGAGTTACAAAACCACGGCTATAAGGGCCACACAAAAGTGATCCATCACACCACAGAGTGATATTTTTAGACAGGTGGACCAACTGCCTAAGTAATTCCAGAAAGAATGATTAAAGTCATCACTAATGGTAGAGCTTTGTCTGACTTACACATTACATATGTGTACACTTTGCAATGAGTTTTTCTTGGAGGTTATATTCATTAAAGATGCAAAATGATTTTCTGAGCTTCTTATTGTTGTTGTTGTTGAGGAAAGCATTTGATTATACATAAAGTAGAGTTATTTCCCAGACTGCTTTCATTGCATCTTTATTCCGTGGTGTAGACCTTGTGAGTCTTAATCTTCCATTTATCTTTGTGCTAGAGCAGAGCTGATATTACGTCTTCAAAAGCCTCTTGGCTTGTCTCTTCAGGCTTAGGTTCTGGGAAGCCCCTCAAATTTCACCACCTCAAGTGTGGGCGTGCAAACTAACCCCACGACTCGTGGATCCCCTTCACTGAGCACACAGAATGCTTGCTGTCTAGGTTCTTGTTTGAACAGTATTCTGCTTTTGTGGTTGTTTCATGGTTTTTACCTTCTCTTTCACCGTACCTTATCTATTTTCCATTAAATCTTTTCTTTAGATTGTTAAGAAAAATGATTTAAAACCTGGAAATAGGAAGTTTTACTACCCCATATGACATTAATCACTTTCGTCTTTAATTCAGCATGCTTAGTTCAAACGGTCTTTCCTGGTGGACAATAAATACCTGGTCCCTCAAAATACGCCTTGAACCAGTTTTACAATTGTACCAGTTCTTTCACTGATTGAATAAATTCTTTGATTTCTATACTTGTCTTAGAGTCATGTTTTTAATTTTATGAAAATTATACTTCTGCTATATTTACTCATTTAAAAATATAGAATTTTGTTTTAAAAACCCTTGTATTAACTGTAAGCAGAAATCCCTTTACACTAGGTAATTTTAAAGATAAATACATTGAAAAAATCGTATGTTATTAACTTAAAAATAGAAAACAATAAAATCCAAGTTATAATAAAGCTAAGTATATTCCCTCCACCTTCTAGTATTGAAGAGACACCTGATGAGAGGAAGAGGTTCTTTCTAGATCCCCCGGAATCTGGAGTTCAGATTCTTTAATTGTTAATTGAGGGCTTCTTATCTTCTACCCGTGGATCTCTGGCTCATTTCACTCTCATGCTCACCCATACAGCTGCGTACCCTCCAGCTTCCATTGAATCAAAAAGTACTCGACTGCCATTTCCATTGACTCATTTTCTATGAATCTTTGGTTGTTTCCTGTCACTTTTCCAGTTGCCTTCCTGACTGTCTCTCTGGTCTCAGTGGAAAGTACATCTGAGGGTTTGCACAGTTTTTTAGCCAGAGGGAGGGGTCTCCCCAAAGGGAAGGTCATGGGAAGTTTGGGAGAGTCAATGTGTATGCCCAGGAATCCTCCTCCCAAAATGATTTTTGCTTCCCCTCATTGGAACTCCTGTGTGTCTTCCCTCCATACCTTCCTGGAGAAGAATCCAAGTCTCTCAGGTTAGGCCCGGGTTAGACATCTCTCCCTCTGGGGGTCTCCCTGGCTTATCTTTCACTTCCACAGGGTCCCACTTTTTTCCTCCCTACTTTTTTCTCTCTCTTTGCCCTGATTTCACACCTCTGATTAACCACATGGTCTTTCCAAAGGGGGTGGAGGGATGCTGTAATAATCCTGTTGTGATTAAGATGATTATTTAGGTTCCACCTAAAATCATCATCTCATGTACCATCAAAGATGTGAATCCCACATGTTGGGAAATACTGGGCCCACTGCCACTCAATACTTTAATAAAGGTCCTTGGAGAGGAAAATTATGAATGAAGGGCACACTGCACATCTATTCCTCCATAAACTTATGCCTCCCTAAGTCAGGTTAGCAGAAAGCTGAGTCCTAAGTCTACCTGCTGTCATTCCTTCTGGAGATTGCTTCAGTTACTTGGGCTTTGACATTTTGCCCTGGCCCACACTAAGAAATGTCACAAAGACATAAGGGTCACAGTCATGGAAACTTCTTAGACATAACCAAACACTTCACAGGATGAAGTTCCTAAGCTGAAAGGCCGAAGACCATAGACTCAGGGGACATCTTTGTTAATTGGCACAACATAGTTCATAAAGACAATGTTCTGCATCCTACTTGGGTGAGTAGTGTCTGGGGTATTAAAAGCTTGGGAGTGACCATCTAAGATACAGCTATTGATCTCTTCCCAACCTGAGCAAAAGAGAGTGAAGAAATCAAAGACTCAAGGGAAATATTAGTTCAAAGAACTAATGGACCACATGAACTATAGCCTCCATGACCCTAAGATCGGAAGAACTAGATGGTGCCCAGCTACCACCACTCTGGGATAACAACAGAGGGTCCCAGACAAGGGAGAAACATGTAGAACAAAAAATCAAATTCACAAAAAAGACCATACTCACTGGTCTGACAGAGATTGGAAGAACCCTCTAGACTATGCCCCTAAGACACCCTTCTGATCTGGAACTGAAGCCATTCCTAGAGACCACTTTTCAGCCAAACGATAAACAGGCCCATAATATAAACAATAACACCTGAAAGGAATGTGCTCCTTAGATCAATCAGTTATACCACATCAAAAGGGCAACATTTCCCCAAAACCAAAGATGAGAAGGCAAAAAGGGGCAGAAAATTTAGACAGAAAGAAATGGGGAACCCAGGGTGGAAATGGGGAGACGACTCTCACATTGTGGGGAATGCAACCAGTGTCATGGAACAGTTTATATACAAACTGTCAAATGGGAAACTAATTTGCTTTGTAAACTTTCATCTAAAGCACAATAAAAACAAAAACAAGAACAAAAAAACCTTGAGGTATCTGCCTTCTCACAATGTATATAATTCAAAGTGATATTAGGGCATTA